AAAAACCCACTGCCATTGAGCGGATTCCAACTCATAGCAACGACATGGAGTCGAACTGTTTCTTAGAGTGTCCACTATACAGTTTCCCAGACAGCCTCAGCTCTCTCCCAAAGAGAGGCTGATGAGCTGGAAACCCTGGTCTTTTCATCAGCAGACAAGTGGTTCAACCAAAGAGCCAGCAGAGCTCCTCAAATTCAGATTGGAGAGCAAGAAAACAAAATGAGAGAGAGAGAAAGAGAAAGTAAGTAGCCAATACCTTTTGGACACTAAAGTAATGTCTCCTTGAACTCTATACACTTCCAGAATTAAATCAAAACCATCAAACATGTTTATTGACTGCCCCAGTTACTATTTCTCAATAAATATAACCCATCAGAAATCCAAGCGTGACTGCTGACATGAGAGGTAAGGAAGTAGATAAACAAGAATTAGAATGTGGCTTTTCGGCCTCTGCTACTCACACGTGGTTGATAAGGGTACGGCGGAACGTATTCTTGCGAGTAACTTGTCAAGAAATCCCTAAAATAGAGAAGGCAATGTTTGAGAAATGAAGGACTTCAAGATAAATGCTATTTTCAGCGTTTAGTGTAAATAAAAACACTGGCGGATGGACTAGTCCTTTTAAATGTTAAAACAGGCCAAATCTGAAACCCGTAGCAGTCCTAGACCCTGTTGATAGAGTTCCCCACCCCCAGCAAGGCACACCTTCCATGACTTTCAATCCAGCGCCACCTGTAAGATCTCCAGTCGGAAACACACCTGTGGTTACCAAGGCCTCCCAGCCTGAGATCAATTGTTCTGCCTTTCAGACTTCCAGGGGCCTTTTTGTCCTGCACTTTTCACCTCTCAAACCTACTTTGAGTCTGTTTATTCCAGGTTGTCTGCTCCATCATAGAGGAAGAGTTTAGTAGAGGACCACTATGTGGACAAAGGTTACATAGTCCCTCCCACCCACATCTACCTTTATTACACACACAAAAATGCTGGGTGAGATATATCTCTCCCCAAAAGTTACAAACAATCAAATTTTAAAAGGGAAAGCCTGAGGCAGTATAGGAAAAAAGAAGAAGGGAGGGAGGGGGGAAGGAGCAGAAGAAATATGTGAAGTTATAATGGGTGAAAATTTTACATCATTAGTGATAGATACTCAATCGCAGATCCAGAAAAGCAACGAAAACAAAGCAGGAAACATACTTAAAACATTTATAGTATGGATTGTGATAAGAGTTGTATGAACCCTAATAAAATGATTTTTTTTTAATTTATAGCCAGACACATGATATTCAAACTTCAGAAAACCATAGGGAAAGAGAAACTCTTGTTAAGTTGTCAGATCTTGCCAATGCGATTTATAGATTCAACACAATTGGGGGAGAGGGGGACCTAACCTATATAATATATAAGACCAAAAAAAAATCACACAATCACAACAATAAAAGTGGCAAATATGGGAGACAGAGGAGGAGTTTAACACCTCCCTAGACCTGCTGCCTCAAATCCAGAGCTGCACATACAACCTCTAAAAGCCATACAGATCACACACACCGTCACTGACACCGAGCATAGTAAGGGATGGAGCATATCACAAACCCCAAGTGGCATGCAGGTGGGGGGAAATGCCAGCAGTCTCAGACCCAGAGCCCATGCTGGAACAGAATCGGACCGGGGTTACGTTAAAGAGAGAAGGTGAAAAGTCCTTTGAGGATAGATGAGAGAGATCATCATCCCCAGAAAGAGCAGCCTTCCCTGGTGTAAAATACTAAGAACAAGTCTGAGAACTAGGGGATTTGAACACTGGTTTTCCAAGAAAGAGTCTTGGAAAGTGAGCTGTTCCTGTCTTGGGAAGCCCCAATTCCTGGGGAAGTGGGGGCACTAGGAAGGTAACAAGAAATGAAGAACTTAAGCACCAGAAATGAAGGCTCCCGGGCTTATTAAATAAGATAATATCAGTAGACAACTGCTTCTAAAAAAAAAAAAAACATGGGTGGTTAATTAGTTAAACTTCACTGTTCCAACGTAAGAGGGCGCTCTTGAGCTGTCTGGTTTTCTCCTCCCTGGGTAGCATTACCTAGTTGCTGCTGGGCTAGCAAACCGGAGGATTTAACAGGAGCAGAACAACAGCAACATCAGGGGAAGCAGGAAACAGTCAACAAAGGGGGTGGTGGTGGGGGGAATCCTCCCCATAAACACTCTCAAATACACAACAAAGCCTTCCATGATGATTTCTGTCTATTCAATGATCTACTAGAGCTCTAGCAAAAAGCAGTAAAACAAGGAAAAAAAGAAACCTAAGTCTAATAATGAAAGATAAAAAGTGTGTCTACAAATGATTTTCCACATTAAAATGTTCCAGACAAGTCACAAAGTAAAAGACTAATGGGCAAATTCTGCCCATTATTGGATGCAAGATCAATATACCAAAATTGGCAGCATTTTTGCAGCTCCTAAAATTGTATTTATAAGGAATTTTTAATTATGTGGAAAAATACATACAATAAAATAATAAGAAACAAACAAATTAGCAGCACACACAAACACCAGCAACAAGAAATAAAAAAATATAGCTAGAGTTGAAAAAGCCCATTCATCATTGCATCAAAAACTCTGAAACCCCAATTGGAATCTATCTAACATAAGATATGCAAGACATTTATGGGGAAAGTTGTAAAATTTTATTGAAGGACATAAAAGAACTCCTCTTTGTATTGACAGAATGATGATGGCAATTTATGAGGGCAATTATTCCAACCAACAAATTGAAAGTACCGCCAGTGCAGTAAGCAACAAGGCATCTACTTCATGGAGCTTGGTCAACTGATTCTAAACTTCATGCACCACTGATGCCGACTCACAGTGGCCCTGGACAAGGTGTCTGAGGTTTCCGAATAGTGGTTTCCCAGGCAGACTTGGACATATTTATTATGAGAGACCAGTCCCTGGAAAAGAACGTCATGGTCGGCAAAGTGGGCGGGGCAGCACAGAAGAGAAAGACCCTTGACCACATGGACAGACACAGGGACTGCCGCAACGAGCTCAAACGTAACAATTGTGAGGCTGGCACGGGACCGGGCATGTTTGGTTCTGTCCTACGTCGAGTACGTGGAGCTGCTGCGAGGCAGCAGCCAATCACACGCAGAGAGGGACACAGATGGACCCTTTGCAAAGGGCATGCGTTATGGTACACCTTGGGGAATTCCTCGATTCTCTCAGAGGTGCCATGTCTTTTTAAAATATATGCAGCAAATATGATAAAAATATTAATGGGGACTGAATTGCTGAGTACATTACTGAGTACTGAATATGTGGACCTTATAAGAATATTTTATAGAATGAAAACATTCATAATTTTAAAATATAGTTATGAGTCAATAGACAAAGAAATTGCCTTTTTTTTTTTTTTAACCTAAACTTCTGACACAAAGGACATGGAGAACCTCAGTCAAACTCTGGTTATGGTTCGGGCAGGCAGACCTTACCAATCAGCATTTGGTATTTCTGAACTTACTAAGCAAAACGTGCATTTTTATAAGATTGAGCGATTAACTTTCCGTCCGTTTTTCCAACTCCATGTAATCCCCCTCTTTTTCAACCTGAGAAACAGGGTATCAATCTTTGAATGATACAGAGGGTGTATATTATATACTCATCAAATTTCAGATGGGATGGTCGTTGGAGAACACAACTATACACAGTCAGCATGGATCCTGCTGGTAGACACCCGTCTAAAGGTGTAGCAGAACACTAAGTATAAAGTACAAGCAAGTCCATAGGAATGGAAATGACCTTGAGTGACTCAGGAGAGTAGGAGGTCAAAACCACAGTGGGACCATTGGTTCCAACACGCTCCTAGGGAAGAGGTGTTCTGGGCCATAGATAGATCTTTCTGGTTCTGGGAGTAAGGAGTCCTGATGGTGTCGTGTGGTAGGCACTGGACTGCTAACCACAGAGACAGTGGTTCAAATCCATCAGCGGTGCTAGCAAAAGATGAGATTGTCTGCTGCCTAATGATTTATAGTATTGAATGCTCTAAATGGGGTCATTGTCCATCAGAAGATACTCCAGGGCAGGGTTTGGTGTTTGGGTACGTTCTGGAAAGAGGGCAGAAGCACATCAATGTGAGTGCACCAGGCTAGACTCATCGGCAGCCAACGACAGCTTTGGTTCATTCTCGTGAACCTCCAGAAACCAGTCTGTGCCACTAGGCTCGGCTCTGCCACGCCCATCCTTCTCCACAGCTGGTAGTGCTAAGGATTCGGCTGGTCAGAGCCTTCCCTGAGGCTTCCTCCTCTTCACTAGAAGCCAATGAGAAAAGGTCTCCCCCTCCCCCCCTTTCCCTTCTCCCTCTCCCTCTCTCTGATGGGAGCTGGGGGAGGTACCATGTGAAGAAACCAAGTGAAGACACCATGCCTGGAGGTAGAGAATAAAGCTAACAGAAAAGGAACATTCAAGATGTTCTAGTCCTGGTCCTGGTCCTGGTCCCAGCTGTCTCTGAAACCCAGCTGTTTCATTGATTTTCCCATAGTCCCTTGAGGCTTTCATAAACGTTTAACTTTTTAAAATAAACTCTTTCTGTAGAAGATTGTTTTAATTGTGTTTTCTCTCCCAATCAAAAGAGTTCTGACTGTTACAATCAGGCAATCCGAGTCTGAGGCCATTAATCGTTGCAATCAGAAACCACTGCCTCCTGCCCCATCCCAAGGACGCTCCGCGGCGCACACTGATTATACTTTGGTTTCTCGTATGGTTTTCTCACAGAGAGAGAATGCTCTGATTAGGCTGACATGACTGTCTGGTGTGCCTGAAATTTTTATTTCTCGTTATAAATGAATGAGAAATTAATTTAGAATTCTGGCTTTGCTTGTGTTTAATGAGCACAAGTCAATCGCCAGGATTCAGATACATTCGGAAGCACAGAAAAAACCTTTTGAGAAAGAGCAGAGGTGAATAAATTCACCACAATAATACCATACCTCAAGGATATCTGGGGACATTGGGGGTTTCCTGGTAGAATTCTCGACCTGAGTGAGGCAGACATGAGGGCAGTTCTGGGTCAGTGTACCCCTCCGGCACAGCCACCAACTGTCTGTTAGTGGAGCATCGCATGCTGCTATGATAATGAGCAGGTCTCAGTGGAGCTTCCAGACTAAGAGGGGCTAGAAAGAAAGGCCTGGCACTCTACTTCTGAAAATCAAGGGATGGATCACAAGGGTTCATCTGTAACCAACGAGGAGGACAGTTCAGGACCGGACAGTGTTTCTGTTGTGCATGAACTCATCATGTAGACAGAGCCCAATTTGAAGGCAGCCAACGACCTCTAAGGACCCTTTACTCAGCCCACCAGCACTTTGCCACGTCAGTTCTCCTTAACGTTCACTGCTTACAAGACATCTTGTAAGACAGAGAACACCAATGAGGTTCTGTAAGGTGAGAAAGGAAAGCAAGTCTGATATCTCAGGTGGGTAAACCAAGGTCAAAATACCTGTACCCACAGAACGACTGGTGGCAGGCAGCACGCCTAA